GGAGGTTTCCAGCCCTTATCCCAGACGGCACCTCAACTCTGCTTACTGAGCTTATGAATTTACTCATTTCCTGTAGGCAGATGCCAGGAGGTTTCCTCAAAGTCCACTTCCTTACATAGCTTTTCCAGTTCGTTATTCGTGAATTATACATTAACGGGTGACCGAAATAGCTTTAAAATTTATGGAAAACAAAACAAAAAGTCTAATCATGTTCTTGGAGGCAAATTCTAAGGTAATGTCTTGTGTCTTTTTTGTACTAATACGCTTCTAAAGTTGGCAATGTTAACACTGTGGGCAATATTGTGGTAATTTCTTTCCCTAGACCGTCCAAGAAGACNGACGCGTGTAGATTAACAAAGATTTTATACAATTAGAAAGACTGGGATTTTTACATTTTTAACAAGCAGTGTAACAGTTACGTGAGTGATACACACCTGATGATGGCCATTTAGGGCCGAAACATGTAGTGTGGAGGAGGAAAAAGAAGTAAAAACTACAATAAAATTGTTGCACTTAAGACGGTATTTGTCCATATATATTGTGTGAGTGTAACAGGATGCTGAAATATAATATTTTTTGTACTAATACGCTTCTAAAGTTTGCAATGTTAACACTGTGGGCAATATTGTGGTAATTTCTTTCCCTAGACCGTCCAAGAAGACATAAATACACAATACACACTGTGACAATTAAGTTCGCGAACTGACGCCATTACAGTAGTAATGCCATAACAGATGGCGTTGCTAACGTTGATTGTTCGGAATGTTACGAGTTACGCATTCGTATATTTCTGTAGGCGGATGGACGAATCATCTTTCGCCAGTGACTATATTCACGCCAATTTTGGCTTGACCATTGCCAATATTCTTTATTAAACTTCCCTTTCCTGACTTTTAATCCAGATATTGAGTGGTGTATTTAACAGAGTCCTCAAAAAAAAGCGCTTTACTTCCTTCATCAACTTGTTGTAGTNCATTACAGTAGTAATGCCATAACAGATGGCGTTGCTAACGTTGATTATTCGGAATGTTACGAGTTACGCGTTCGTATATTTCTGTAGGCGGATGGACGAATCATCTTTCGCCAATGACTGTATTCACGCCCATTTTGGCTTGACCATTGCCAATATTTTTTTAAACTTCCTTTTCCTGACTTTTAATCCAGATATTGAGTGGTGTATTTATCAGAGTCCTCAAAAAAGCGCTTTACTTCCTTCATCAACTTGTTGTAGTTGTTGGTTTATAAAGGGTTTAAGTAGCTTTCAGTTTCTTTCATATTTACCTTTCAGCCTGTATAACAATCTCCGTGTTAGTCTGTACAGCGTTTATATTCTCACCCCTATTTTCGCACGTTATATGATAACTGGCATCAATAAAGTTGAAACTCCTCCGTACCCACACGAATCCCGGTGGGATCGAATATTGTGCATTTGGGAGCAGGATATTTGTAGCTGTATAATCTGTGGAACAGGATTAAGGACCTCACATGTATTACAGAACGGAATATACTCATTTACATATGGAACTCAGGTATACAGACACTCGAGCAACGAGTAGGAACAGTTTAATACACGAGCTTTACAAGGGAAAGCGCCTGTTAATAGCTCCGAAACCATTATTAGCAACGAACTTTGTTCAACTTGAGACACTCATAGTGATAACCGTGAGAAGTACTGTCTCCTAGTATGTGATATCGTTTAGTACGGTGTATGTTAACCGACGTTTCGGAGAAACGCACATCCAGCTTGACATCTCCTTCGTGTTCTTTTTTGCTTACCTTATGGACCCTGAAGATGGAAGCAGTATCTTTCTTTGAAATGTCGGTGAACTTATAGTGGATTATACGACACTACACATCAAAATATAATAATCTTCGCTGCAGGACATGTTTGTGGTGAGTTCTGCGACGCTGTCCTCCCTTTTGTACCGTGTGTTGCGAATGTTGTTTCAGTTCAGAGGCTTTACTTCTGAAGTTTCTGAACAGATATTGACAACAATTTGATATTATTGGAAGACACATATAATTAAAGATATCTCTGTGCTTCTAACTAACCACCACATCATTAAGACGTATTGAGGAGTTGAAGTATGGCTCCACGCATTCGTTCCATCTGCAGTAGGTGGCGGGAGTGGTAAACTTCATATACTGGTCGTTTTACCACAGAGGGAATATTCTTTGATGCCAGTTGAACAGGAGGCTGGCTGGGCTCCATAGTCGTTCTGGGCGCTGTAGAGACAAATATTGTGGCGTGCCGCCAAAAAGCCGGAATGACTTTCATCTTTCTCCTGTTGTTCCTTCCCGCAGAACTGTGTATTTCATGGATGTTATCTTGGTTTACATATGCCCCGGTGTCCAGTATATGTGAACAATGCTACAGCTACACAGAGGTGCGTCCTTCCTCGGAAGCTAGCATTTGCCCATCGTAAATAAATTTCCGAATTCTGTGCAACGTGGCTTTATTGTCGTGCTTACAAGAACCCGTCACTGGTACCTACCCTGAGCTAGGTGAACATTCTGCCATCCTGTTTCTTTGAGATCTTTCTAATATTATCCTCCCATCTACATCGAGGCGTAACAAGCTGTCTCTCCCTGTTTCAGGGATTTCACCGAAACGTAACGTGCATTTGTCATCTCCGCTTTCTCCGTTTCATTGTTCTCGGTCTGTTCATCCAAAGAACACATGTTCGAGGTGTATAAATTATGAAGCTCCTCATTATGCAGTTTTCTCCAGCCTCCTGTTACTTCCTCTTAGATCCAGATGTTCCCTTTATCACCCTCCTCCCCTAAGCCTCAGTCTGTGTTCTTTTAATGTCATATGCCAAGTTAGACCCCAGTACAAAACACACTTTAGCTCCTGCTTTCAGCGTAACTTTTTACCTAACTCCCACTTATTGTGACTCTTCAGCGTGAAACGTAGGAATTTATGTAGATTTATACTCACACAGCTCGTAGTAAGAACAGCGCTTGCGTCAGCAGAGTTTGTGTTCTAATTCCATTTCTGTGTACTGCCTGAATGTTTCATGCAGGAAACCTCTCAGTTACGGATAATCAGGAGGTACGTTTAAAAATGCTGACATTCAATGTAATTCTTAAACAAACACACGAAATTCAGTTGCAGTAAGATCCATCATTGGTACTTCGTTGATTAAACCTTAATCTGTTCCTGTTCTGTTGTAAACACAGTTTACAACGATAGTAACCACGTGAAACATTGGCCGATATATTTTACACGGGATTAATTTTATTAAATCGATTTTCTTCATTTTCGCGATTAGTCTACTCCCCCACTGCCCCCCCTAAAATGTTGTTTTTTGAAACTTCTCCAGGAGAATATGTGCGGTTGTGAGACTTACGTCAGCAGAATAACGAATTACAAACCGCAACGCTTGGGATAATGTTCCTAGTACCGGAGTTCTCGCCCTATCAGGTAGGAACTACAGCAGAGCCAGGGGGTACCCGAAACAAGTTTAATGTTCATATTTGCCTTCCCTGAAACCTGTTTTCATAATATCCTCACTCCTATCGGGCCGCCTTTAAGTTAATTATGTATGAATCCGAGTTACATGGAGGCTACAGCCCACTGCATCATTCCTTCTGTCGTCATCATATTCTTTTCTTCTTCTTCTTCTTCTTCTTAGTATTATTATTATTATTATTATTATTATTATTATTATTATTATTATTATTATTATTATCATCATCATTATTATTCACTCACTCATGCAGCTGAGCCCTTCTTGAGACGCTGCCAGTTATGCAGCTACTCAAGAACTCAGCATTTTATTGAACCCGAACGTTTATTACCACGTTCACAAGAGCCATCCAGCGGTCCCTATCCTGAGCTAGATCAATCAAATCCATACCATCCCATCCTATCTCTGTGAGATGCGTTTTAATATTGTCCACCCACCTACGCCTTGAGCTTCCCAGTGGTCTTCTTCTTTCCGACTTTCCCACCAGTATCCTATATGCATTATTATTATTATTATTATTCACGATTTAGGCCGTTGCCCAGTTTCGGTTCCTAAGAAAAATGTTGTTTCAGTCTCATTTATAGATATCCTCGACGCCTCTTCCCATGAAGTCTAGCGTTCGTTGCGCATTTCGGGCTCCATTCCTCATTCTTCCGAGATGTTCCAACAATTTCCTCAATGTTTATTAATTATGGGTAACAACAAGACTATCTGAAGTTCATTGCGTTTCTTGTCTTAGCAGTTCGATCGTATTGTTGGCCATTAAAAGGCGCATTTCCGCCACTTCAGTTCATTTCTTTTTCTGTGAATTCCAAGTCCCACTTTAAGACTCATATATTGGAATGCAAGGTGCGACAAATTGGTTCACGGAATGACCATAGCGTGTCTCTGGGTTGTTCAGTCAGGCACGAAGCACGTTTGGACTTGTTCCAACTTGCGCTTACATGAGCCACGTACCAAATGAGTCATTCGTTCCCAAGCAGCAGAGGAAATAGTATGTGTCCGTGGTATACTGTTGGCAGAAAAATGAGTGACAAGAATCTATAGAAGCAGATAAACCTCAGGTTTTGTGTGAAGATTGGCAAAAGTGCTAGTGAAACGTTAGTCCTCTTAACAGTTGCTTACGGTGAGTATACTATGAAGGAATGGAAGGAACGGAAGGAAACATAATTACATAAGTGAAACTGTAACCATACTTTATATGCATTCTACAATGAAATTAGAGTTTGGAAAATGTGAACTTAATTGGACAGTAATGAAAATGTGACTATACTTTATGTGCACCCTATAATGAAACTGGAGCTTGGGAAATGTGTACATAATTGGACAGTAATGAAAATGTGACTATACTTTATGTGCACCCTATAATGAAATTGGGGCTTGGAAAATGTTAACATAATTGGACAGCAGTGAAAATGTGACCGAACTTTATGTACGCCCTGTATTGAAATTGGGGCGCATAATTGCACCCAGTGGCTTCATCACTGATAGCAGTGGCACCAGGATTAACTCGAAGTTAATTTACAGCAGCCACAGCCTTGGCGGACCCAGTACCTGCAGCTGCGAGACCTCTGGTGGGCAATGGAAACGTGATCTTGAGGGAGCTGAGTCCCCCCTGCAGCTACCCTCCACAGCAGGCCCCCCTGCCGCACCCGAAGTCGCTACCCATTTCTTCCCACGGACCCGCCGGCCACTGGGTCTCTCCGGGACCTGCACCGGTCATGGACTCAGCGGTAAGTCGAGAGGAAAGCTCCCATTCACACGCCTTTCTTCCATGTTTGCATACTCGTATTTACGTCACTTGTCTTGTAGATTACAGCGCTGTTGGCACTACCGGTACCACGCTGTGTTGAGACACAGCAAGTCTTCCTTGTGTTTCTGTAAATATTCACGGTGTCAATAAATGCTTCAAACAAAAGTTTTATTTGCCGTGTTAGTTTCTTACTACGAATTATATTTGAGAAAATTGATAAAGATGGACGTGAGTTGCACGTAAATAATGTATGTTACCATAAATTTTAACGTACAATTCGTGTTAAAACTTTTAATAGATTCCGCTAACGTGAAGCCGTTTAGTAAATTGTGCTCTGAAAGATACCGACCAACAAGAATCCTGACGTCACTCTTGACTTCCTCCAGTAACTGCCCTCCCACTCTCCCTGTGTACATACGCGAGGAACAGCAGTGGGTCCAGTTGACTTCCTTGCGGTACTCCTGACGTCACTCTGACTTCCTCCGGCTGGTCATGGGGAACTAAATCCTTATACGCACCACCAGTAATTACACGTAATTATAGCGCTGTAGCTAACTCTACACTTTACAGTTCACTGTCGCACATACACACACACCCGCGCGCACGCACGCACTCAAAATATTACACATAAATGAATTCTTCTTATCTCACGTCAAGTCTTCACAGGCCGAATTCTAATTACTTCTTCAACTACACTGCTGTTTCTTGGTATTTCGGAACTCAAGTCTGATCAGTTCCCATTTCCATATTCTTTCATATGCTCTCGGCACGGAGCACGCATAGGAAACACAATCCCTCTATTGTTGCGTGGAGCAGACGACACAGAAAACATGTCACGTGTCAGACTGCGAGTTGATTTGTCTGTTAACAGCATTGGGCGTCGCGCGGACTACTTAGAAAACGCAGCCTCATCTATTGTTTCTTGTTGGACCGTGTTTACAGAGCTGTTGCCTGACAACGCATTGATCAAATCCGTTAAAATATGCTTAGAATACATCGTCATTCTCACAAATTTTAAGTGAAAATTTTCGTTTCAAATGAGAAAATTAAAATAATAATTTTCAAACGTCTTTAGGTTACCGTTCTGTTACATTTCTTCAACATGTTCCCACAGTTTATTCCTATTTTCTGAAATTCTAAGAGCTTGGATAGCTCAGTCGGTATATTAACTAGGCTACTGACTGTACAACCGAAATATTGGTATTCGATACCCAATATAGGCAAGAGATTTTTTCTTTTAGAACGCCCTAACAGGCTCTGAAGCCCAACCAGCATTCTATCCAATTGTGCCTGGGAATATTGTCGGGGGTAAAGTGGCTGGAGCGTTAAGCTAACTCCTTATTTCCATCTATTTCCGAGGTTAAGAATGATGTGTCTTAATGGTGTGATGTTTAATTAAGCACTTTACCTTTACTCCGCCATTCCCTTCCCCAATATTAATGTGTGATTCCTCCCTAACATTTCCACTGACCTTTGTACTTGGAGTGCAGTCCAACCCTTGCTACTGACTCAGAGAACGCATTTCAGCAACTACATTCTATTCATTTTTTCTAATTTATTAATTGATATTAAATCTATATAAATAAATTAAAATACCCTGAATTGATGATTTAAGTTACGACTTCCTTAAACACAGGGTACAAACTTACACAGATAAGTTGTACTAGTACTACATAAAGGCTGCATAGGGGACCAACAGTATTCGTTCGTATTTCTTTTTTTTTTCCCCCTTGGCACTACAGCCCCAGTGGGCCAAGGCCTACCTACATGAACTTCTCCGTTCACTTCGGTTTTTCTAGATCTTACACATTCGGTAGGACTCCTTAGGCGGTTGATCAGCTCGTCGCAAGGCCTCTACCTGTACACAAACACAGAAAAAAGCGCACCCACAAACTAAACATCCATGCCCTGAGTGGGATTCGAACCCACGATCCCGGTTTCCAAGCGAGCGAAGACAGTGCATGCCATTTGTTCATATATGAACAATAAATCAGAATACTTTGAATATCTTGTAGAAGAAACTATACAAAATACCTGCACTTATAGTACATAAAGCCAATCTAAGAGACTCACACTATAAAGAAATGAATTCACACATAAATAATAAAATTGGTATTATGTTCTTTTAAACACCTGGTAGAAAAGGCTATATAAATAATATGAACTTATAGTACATAAAGCCAATTGACGAGACTCACAGCCAGACAAAACTTGATTATAATATGTTCCACCCTTTCTTCCAGAAATATAACACACGAGTTCTTTTGGTTTATTTGTTCCTTTCTTTTTTATGTTCTCTAAAAATCGCTCCATTATTTTGTGCACGGCTTTCTGTTATAGTTAGTCCGTTGTAGCGGCCGTTTAACGGGCTTCGTTTATCTCTCCAACTCTTCCCCTCCCTGGCAGAAGATGGTCTCATGCAGTAACTCCCTTCCCTCATCGCGTGTCATTCAATGTAAGGCAGCATTTGGTCCCATTGAGCGTTCCTAGGTTGATACCGTACTTAAGAGCAACATATGGTAACCAGGCCATAGGATGGTTACCAAGGGTTGCTGTTATAGAATGCAAATAATTTCAGCGACAATAAGCAAGAAACTATGTCCTTTCGTTTTCCCGTACATAAAAATGTAACTCACCAAAGTGATAAACTACATATATTGTGCATCGAGACAACAGCTCACATTGTCTTTTTATTCCAACGTTTAGGACGTTTTTTAAAGCCAACTCAAAGTATCCGATGGAATTCTTTATATTGTGACGTATAGACCCATTGCTAGGGAACGGCTCGATAAACAACTTCCCACCGAGACAGATTCTGAGTAAAAAAGTTCGTTGCTAGGTAAAGCCTATAATAATATGCGACAACAAGAGACGTCCATTGCTAGGCAATGGATTTTTTTTCATGAGGTTCAATCCGTGGCTATATAACGATGGATGCTGGGTCCAATACCTTCACCGTAGCCCTGCGATTCGTAGGAGGCGACGAAAAGCGAACCCAGTGCCTGGGACTATAACCGGGCCGCCCTGTTCCGGGGGAATATAAATACGGGGACCTGGCCCTCCAAGTTGGGGGTGTCTCTAATCTGAGACAGTATAATGTGGTCATAAATCCCGCGGGAATCTGACCTGAAAATGATTGCGCTGGCGAGGACCAGAAGCAATTGTAAATGACAGACCCATCCTCTGGTCAGAGAGGATGTTACATAAGCACTATAACCTGAAGTCTTCATTGAAAAAATACTGATCGTGGGTCTCAAGGAGGTTGGCGCCAAGCTGAACTAACTTGCAGTAAACTCACAGTCGTAAAGTGTCTCTGACTCTGACTCCAGTAGTTCAGTTCACTCCAAGAGTAGGTCAGATTTGAGTGAGTCCGAGGCAGTCAAGGAAGAAGAGTTCGGTGATTGTACAAGGAACGATCAATAAATCCAATTACCAGCCCAAACTCCATCTTATAAATTACCCATACACATGAAAATATTGTTCTGTGTGAAAAATGTCTGGCAAATACGTTGTACGCATATGATTACCGAGCTTTGTATCCAGTGGCATGTTTGTTGCTTTGCTATACTCTGTCTGCTCTAGAGACGAAGGCGCTTAATGATCAGATAGTGACGTGGACTGTTACGTAATCGTAGAACGTTACTACACTTTATTTTCAGCATACTCTAAATAATGCCGGAAGGAAATTCATACTTACTCACAGAGGACTTGTCTTTCGTTAAATTGCCTACATAAGGGATGGCATCACCTAGTTCGTAGATTGGATGGACTTAGGATATATTTTCCTCTTTTGGAGCGAGGGGGAAAGGGTTTAATTGCTTCTTAACAATGATGTATGGTTCCAGAAGCAGATGAGCCTAAACCACAACAGTTGTTCAATACTTGTACGTGCATATAACTTGAACATTTTGATGCTTAATAACTCTCTCTGTAATTCAGACTAGAAAAATGGATATAAAACACAAAAATGTAATATTCGAACCTTGGAAAAAAACATTTGTTTCTCGACGTATCCTCGACCAACATTGATACACTTGTCCCATCGTTTTTCCAGTGCGTCGAAATTCGCAGCATAATTTTTTTACTGTTGTACCGTTGCACAGTTGCTTCTGTCGCAAACTCAGCAGAGCGACCTCTTCGGGCATCATCTGCGATTTTCAAACATCCTTCAGAGGAATTCTCGACCCAGTTGTGAACCGCTTTAAGCGATAAACACCTCCTACCTTAAACAGGAAACATTTCTTTATGAATACTATTTGCATCCATTCTTTAACCCAAAAGATCGACAGTAAAATCCTGAAGCACGGTCGCCATTTTGACTACTGAAACCAGCCTCTGGCCATGCTCATGCTACCTACATAGTCATGAAGCTAGAACGTGCTGCTACCTAGTGATACACATATAAAACCTATTACGTCCGTTACAGCTGTTTTACTTCCAATTGTGACCTATTTACTGACTCTCCCTCTCATATAGCGTCGCATAAGTACATGACAATGAATTGAAAAAAGGACATAGAAGTGAGCTTTTGTAGCGTAACTGAAGGTATTACCCCACAATTTACCTAGAGGAATTGTAGAAAACTATAAAGAACCGTAGAAGAGTCTCTATCTGGGCCTAGATTGGAACCGGTGCCACACAAATGCGTGTCAGAAGGGTAATCGCACGAAACAACTCGATCAGTAGCATTCTTCAATAAAATGCATTTCTCTTACAGAGGAAATTCGTACCTGTTAATTATAATTCGTTCATGCCGGTCACGGTAGCCGAGCGGCTTAAGGCATGTACTGTCTTCGCTCTCTTGGAAACCGGGATCGCGGGTTCGAATCCCACTCAGGGCATGGATGTTTAGTTTGTGTGTGTGCGTTTTTCTGTGTTTGTGTACAGGTAGAGGCCTTGCGACGAGCTGATCACCCGCCCAAGGAGTCGTACCGAGTGTGTAAGATCAAGAAAAACCGAAGTGAACGGAGAAGTTCATGG